GACGTGCACAATGGCATATGAGGTCGAGCAAGAGGCTCGAGAGATCAAGGCTTGAAGGGTCGAGTGCATGGATGTGCGCAAGGGCACGCGAGAAGGTAGTCTATCGGCATGCAACATTAGGGCAATGGATGAAAGACTACGTACAGTGGACCAGGGCCGAGTGTACGATAACAGACTCAGGCGATGCGGTCGACTGGTGCAAGGCGTGTGGAAGGGAGCGGCGCGCACGACGCTTAGAGGCTAAGGCCTCAGGAGTTTACATTGTTGAGGGGACGAGTGGTGCGCGAGGGGTGGATGTTTGGTGGACAGCGCGCACGTGGGACGACCGCAAGGAGGGGCGCGAACATGCGCATTGGCGTAGACGCGCATGGCATTTGGAGGTTAGGCGAAGTGGTGCGCAGGGGGAGGATGTCGGGAGGTTAATGCGCATGAGGGATTGCAGCAAATGGACGAGTGCGCATCGCGCGTTCGACGATACGCGGACAGCGCTGGGCGCACGTAGGCGCGCAGTAGGCAAACGGAGCACTGGGGCGCTGGGACGCGCGGTCCAGTGGACAGGCGCGGGAATAGCGCAGGGTTATCGAGCGTGGGCAGCAGCCGCGCGGTTGACAAGGACGCGCGAGAGCAGGGTATCCAGATGTGCGAGCGCGCGATGGGGAGTGAGTGGTGCGCAGGCGCGCGAAGCCTAGGCCGTGTAGGAACAGGCGAAGGAGAGACGGCGCATGGGCGATCCGCGTGCGCAGTTGGCAACACGTGCGGGATGGGCGAAGACCTAGGCCTAGTAAGCTTAGGCAAGACAGGTGACGCGCAAGCAGGCATGGGTCTTGACCGCGTAGGAGTAGACGCGCTAGGCGACACGCGCGAGGCACAAGTCAAAACTAAGGTGACAAGCCTAATCCTCATAGGAATAGGCATGACACAAATCCTAGACCCCGCAGGACTAGGAAAAGCAGTTGAGTATCGTGATGTGCGTGAAGGATCGGCGACGGGAGTAATCCTCGGAAGATCAGGCAACATAGCTGGGAGCATATTCCTAGTAGGAATAGGCAAGGTGGATATGGGCTCGAAGTCTGATCCTTCAAGGAATAGGAATAGCATACACAAGGCGCGAGACCTTACTCCTCAAGGCAAGTGGATAGGCGGGCGTAGGAGACGCGACCTAAGTCCTCGAGGACTAAGGCAAGGAGGCGTGAGGCGGCGGGAAGACCTAGGTGGCGTGAGAGAGAGAGAGAGAGGAGGTTGGAAAGTCTTCTACTTGGAGTGCAAGATAAGACTACTTGGAATGCAAGCCAAGGCATTAGATCCCCTAGCTATTTGGTTTCCATATTGCATTATAATATCTAGATTGGTTAGGATACTTAATATTTTATTGCTTTATTATTTTCCTAGGTAGATTAGACTTAGACAAATCTTGTGCCTATATAAAGGCCCTTCCCCCATATTATTTTTAATCATCCAAGAAATTAATCGAAATCTAGAACTTTGTTCTTCCAACTTTGCTTTAGTCTTTTCACCAGAATACTATTGCAATTTTATTCGTTTCAATAGGCGCGGTTGTGGCTAGAGAAACACTATC